TGTGTATATATATATATATATATATATATATATATATATATATATATATATATACACACACATACATACACCATCTGTTATTGTGTGGAGGGAAATTGGAGCACATCCTTATATACATTTCAGCTCATAGACCAGGCCTTGAAAATGAGTGCAAGAGAATCCCATGCACACGACTCTTGCATCTAGACTGCTGTTCTCTAGAACGCAAACAGATCTAAAATTAGCAGCTCTATATGTGCTCTGGCTTGTGGCCTGCAAATGTATACCAGGGACAGAAGTCCATAGAGGTCAATGCCCTTTTTGCTTCTACATTCGCACCAGTTTTACTGGGTCATTTATTTCTGTGAGGCAGTGAATTGAGAAGCAAATCTGATAATGTTTAAAAATGTAGTGATATCATTTAATAAAAAAGGAGAACTGGTATGTTTGCACTAACATAAACACAAATATATGTTCTGGGTGCTTATGAACCTTTTAGAGCACTGGTTAACCATAAAAAAAACGAATTAGATTATAAATATTGTGATGGCAGTTCCAGGTGGTGCTCTTTGGCTGTATTTAATGACTGTTTGATGCATGAAACTTTAAGCTGGAGGGAGAGCCTGGGAGAAAATGAAACTTGTAAGTATTTAGGATGTTATTTTTCCGAGGAATATCACCCTGCTACCTTAGCAGACGTGCTTGCGTAACGCGTCTCCTAACGAGGAAACTGCTGTTCCACGAAAACAGAGAGCCGTTAAAATTGCATTATTACGCAGAAAAAGAGAGGTAAACACGTGTTAAAGCAAGCCAGGTTCACACAGCAGCGACCTTCCAGATGCTGGAGAAATCTCCCCCCGGCCTAGTGGCGTCTCCTGTCCTTCCTTCCTTCCTTCCTTTCCTTGGAGGCTTTTATGGAAGCAAATCGTGGAACATGGTGGTCGGACTCACCTTGCGTCTTTCATTCAGATGATTTGCTCCCCGCTCTCACAGCTGCTTAAGGTTTCCAAGGCTCCAACGCCGAAGCGCGTATGTCGCGTGAACCGGATCCACAGCCATGTCGTTTCATTTTAAACCAGCGAGGAGCCGCAGCCGCAGCAGCAGCAGCAGCAGCAGCCGGCCTCCCGCTCCGCGCTCACAGCTGACAACAGCGGCTGATGGAGACGCAGCTCCGAGCCTGCGGCAGCTTCTGCTCTGTTTAACGGGATTCCTGGCCGATAAGAACTGTGCATAACTGCTGCGGCAAGGCAGGCAGGCAGG